GAACAACATGGCCGTAAGTCAACATGATTTCTTTGAGTAGCTTATGTTTCTGGATAAACATATCTTCGTTGACTCCATAACTATATTCCTTTTATCCGTTCTCTGCTATCTGATGTCATCAGTGTGTGCCTCCTACTCCTTCCTAAGCCATTTAAAAATTAACTCTAGAAGGCACCACTTGGTTTCTGCATTTCAGGTCATAAGACTAAGCAAAATTATTTGTTGAAAATACTGACACTGGCCATATTTACCACACAACGGGTCATTTAAAGGGCCTATATAATGGAAAACCAAATTGTCCTCAACGAAAAGCGTCCATATATGTAAATATTGTTACATTTTCCAACCATACTATTCACTCACCACTCCATGCAGTCTATATTATCACGGTCACAATGAACTCGTTAATCAACAAATAAATAAATGTTCAACCAAAATGAATTTAATTTCCAATAAACAATTAAAATTTCATTCATCTGATAAATATTAGTCAGGTTTTTATTCAACTTAAGGACCATTTTTAAAGGGCACAACTTGTTATGGTAGCCCTGCTCCAGGGTTTCTGGAGTTGAACCCGATTCTCAACTCCTACTGCAGGAGTAGCTGACTCCTCATCTTGCGGTATCCAAACAATTAGGATATTTACCCATGTGACACAATGTTAAGGTAAGTTACAGCTGACTTTAAAAAAAGTCATGTTGCTTCTGTTAAGTGTAGCCTTAAGCAACAGTCTACAAATGCGCTGGTTAGCTAACAGTTAGCCTGTGTTGCTATGCTGCGTTCAAGTGCCAGTGGGGTGGTAGTTTTATCCGAGAAGGAACTCATTCACCCGACGTGTGCATTCATATGGTTTATGTGAGAGATAAACACAACACTGAGGTTGTGAAATGAGTGTTGTAGTTCATTAGCTAGCTGTCAGCTACCGGTTTTGGCCTATTTGAACTGGTGTTTTGAACTCAAACAAGTAGAAATAAAAATGGGTTACCTGTACATACGTAAAATGCACTTAACTATTACTGCTTAACTGATTGCTTTCTGTTGACCGCTCGCTTTTATCCTTTGCCATGATGAAAACAACACTGATGTCACAACTCGGCCAATTCGCGCTGCATTGTGAAATTCCAATGTATCCGACTTCATCAGCTGACTTGTCATCTTGTCATCACCTGACATACAGAAATACCTTCGGAATCACTCATTATTCAGCTTCAGCTCTTTATGAGGCGGTGGAACTCCCTGTGTTATCTTTTCTGTAGGATCAAGTGAATCCAGTGTGTGTGTCATTTAGCTGCAGTTCTTAGAGAATTAATAATTCATTGCTGCTTCTCAAGAAACCATTTGTTCTTCCTCTTCTGTCTTCTTCCAGAGTTTAGACAAAAAATGTTCAGACTTGGTGTGAAGGTCCCACTACATTAAAAATTCAATATTTTTTTTTTTCGGCCAAAAAATCATATTTGATGTGAATAGGCCTTTAGTCCCATGACGAGAAAAGCTTAAGAGCTGGGTGTTATCAGCTTTATGCTAATTATTTTTACTATTATTGCTCATTAACTTGGGCTAATAATATGGTAAATGTACATAGCCTACATTACATTACTGTACTACATACCTATATATTACAAATCTGTTATGTTCTGCTGCATTTTTTCCATTCAGTAAAGCCTAACGACTAATAACGGCCTGTTTTGGTCAGAAGAATTTGCCTAAATTTGTATCCCTAATCCATATACAGAAACTAAGCTGAAACTTTTTAATTCATTGCTTCATAAAATTTGAACAAAATCCTTCATTCGTTGAAAATATTGAAGCTGTACCTCCTTCATAGGTCATTTGAAGGAGGATTCTTAGTACTTTGTGTTTTTAGTTATCAAGTCTGCTGAGCTAACACTAGCTAGCTGGGTAGTGAGTATGCTAGTTAGACTAACAACTTAGCTTACTAAGGAACACAGTTTAAGCAGCTCAAGCAGGCATTAGGCACATACTGATGACATGAGATGTATTGATTAGGTAAAAGGAACGTTCATGTCCTACTTGAAATCACATTCACCAATGGCTACCTACAGTAGCATGATGGAAAAGACTGCATCTTCAGATCTCTAAAATGGCTTCAGATAACTGTCATTTTCTTGTCATAGCATTTTTCACAGACAGGTAAAAGCCTGAGGGACATTTTGCAGAAAGCCATTTAATTTCCTCTGTGTTCTCCCTCTGAGCATGTCAGACGAAGTATATTGGCTTCAGTGGCCAGCAGTGTTGTTGACTTCATTAAATATTCCTCCACTGTGCATCTTCCTGAGCAAAACATAAAGGCGAGGGCAGAGCACATGCGCGCACACACTGTTTTGCTGCAGACTCGCAAAAAAGGCATCAGCATTCAGTCCACACTCACGCCCTTCATGTCACCTCAGTCAAATCTGAGCCGCGGCTGTCTGAGCTGCCCTTCTACTCAGATGGAGAAGCACAGAGTCAGCAGGGTTACGATAACAAAACTGTAGCACAAGCACAAGAACACGGATCCTCCGAGGCTGCAGTATGGCCCCCTTTTTCTAAAGCAATTATCTTGGTCCTGAATCTAAAAAAACACAGTCATAAAAGAACATCTTAAGCCTGGGGCCTCAGTGCTACTTGCAATTGCCTAAGAGGGAGTCTGGTTTATTGGCTCTGCCAGTCCTGCTTGAAGAACTGCAGCTCAGCATGCATGTATTGAAGATGGAGAAATGGAGAGCAAAAAACACTTTGCAGGTGCTACAAGATTACAGAGTTACAGAGTTCAGATGCCTTTGGAGTTGTTTCAGACATACACTATATGCCCAAACGTTTGTAGACACCTGCACATCCAGTGTTTCTTCCTAAATTAAAGGTATTAGTAGAGAGTTTGCCCAGAGAGTTATATCCCTTTGAAGGTTGGCACTGGGCATGGTGATCCTAGGCTCTTATGAGGCTGTTCCAGAGCATCACATTCAATTAGCAATGCTTTTCTATAGAGATTATACAAGGTGTGTGCGCAAGTGAACACTTGTGTCAGCAATGGATGCACACTAAAGAAGCTAAATTTACAAATCATAAGGGGTGTCTGGATACTTTCGGACATATAGTGTATGCAGGAACATACAAAGAAGCATGTATAAATCATGGCGGTCCGGCCTAGTCTCAGGACAAAGTTCAGTGTAGAAATACAGGCTGGAATTTCTACACAGGCATCATATTGGATAGCATGAGGAAATGTAGGAGCAAAATGTAATATCCATCCTGTAAACAGAGATACTAATTACTCTGTTATTGTTACCCTCTAGTTAACTTAATCTACAGTCAATCACTTTGCCAACTAAAATCTAGTATAAAGTAAAAAAATCCTTAGAAAACGTCTGCAAAATATGATTCTAAATGTAGACCTTAAATGAAAGCGTGGGTGATTCTCAGAGTCATGTCACCACTGCTATGGCCATGAATTCATTCTGTAAAAGCAAAGAATATATCAACATCTTTTAATGGCTTTGCATAGTCTCCACCAAAAGGCTGTTTTTCTGGACAGTACACACCTACACACTCATCTCTGAAGCAGCATGCAGACATACTAACAGTCCATCAAAAGGCTACAAGGACATGTATCTCAAAAATAGACACAGATGAACAGTATTCTGCTCTCTGGCATCACAGTCTGCACATCTTCCTTTAGCAATGACAAATATTTTATTTCCACTTCACTAAAAGTGTCTGTTGTGCACCCACTCCTCCTTCAGGCCAAGGACAACTACCTTAAGTCGGAGGACAAAAAGTATCCTTCCTTTTTTTCCCACCAGGGTCAGTGTAGGTCTGCGGCCCAGTGACAGAAGCAAGAAGGTTCAGTGAGAGCCAAAACATTGGCAATGCCAGAAAATAGTATACACTGTTGTCTAATCCTGCAGACTTATTAAAGACAGCAATGAGCTATGAGTTACGCTGACAACGCCTAAAATCAACATGTGTCACTTTTACTTTATGTTAAGAATAAATGCGTCTCTTGCTTTGGACATGGCAGCATTATTGTGTGCCTGAAGTGAAGAGAAGCTTGTTTACATGCAGGAGTGGCTGCTTTGCCACCAGTGTAAACGGCCTTTAGGGACGCTCAAGGATCCTTGAGCTTCACAAAGGTCCTGTGATGAAAGCCCTGTAGTATCATATGAAGTAAAAACAGGACCTGAGGCAAAGATCTTACCACAGCACCAATGGCTGTGATTGGTCTGAGGAGATAGAGTTTCAGAGCCAGTGCGTAGACAAAGCAGAGTATCATGAGGCCTTTGTTTTGGGACCGGCCCTCTGACCCGCTCATTAATTTATTCGCAGATAATGACTGATGCATAATTGAAAGGATTAATGAAAAAGAAAAACAGTCTGATGGGGATACTATTTCTCTTAGTTAACTGTCTGTGCTAAGTGGGTGGAAGAGGAAACACTGTCTCTCAATATGTAACCACCACAGGCTCATTCTGGGCTTAAGAAAACGTACCGTCACAAAATGTCCTCAGCCAAAACAAACCCAGTCTTTAGTCGACACATAGGCCTCTCAAATACAGGCTGGAGCTGGTCTTTTTGATAAATTTGTAGACAGAACTGAATTTGTATCATCGAGCAGGCTAAGTGAATGGAAATGAACGTGCTGTAACGGCCATTCCCCTCTTGTTCTAAAACAAGTCTTATCAATGTGGTCTCTGATGTCTGTGAGAAACACCGTGTAACTTCTTAACTCGTTCATCCACCCCAAAACATTAACAGCTGAAGTACCCTCGGTACTGTCCTTCTTTGTTGTGCACCAAAACGCCGTTCTGAAGCCGCCAGCAGAGTCTTCTTTCCGTGCAGCCTCGCTCTCCATCACAGCGCTGTCAAGGAAACAGGCACGTGACCCACGCAAGCAATCGCCGGCTGCCGCTGGACGCGAGCGCGACCCGCCCTCCAATAGAATGAATGGACTCAAATAGCAGCCAATCAGAAAGGAGCTCGGGCGGCGTATAAAAACAGCGCAAAGCGGCTTAGCGCCGGACACCATTAGCAGTGGCGGTGTGGTCGCTCCAGGACTGAAGGAGGCAGAGCTGTCACTTTCCCAAAGAAACTCCACTAAAGGTAGGGGGGCTGTCTTTTTTTCCCCCTCCTCTCCTTTTTGGGGCATTACGTTATTTGCATATTTTATATACGAGAAACGATTCTGTTTTGTTTTTGCAACGACGATAGTCCGTAAACGCTGTTTGAATTGTTTCTGGAGAAGGAAAGAGCTACTTAGGCTGAAGTGGGCTGTATCAAATTGGAAAGCTCAAATGTTTTTCTAATCCGCTGATGGATGGATTAAATGTTTCCATCTCTCTCAGTGACGGCACTAGACGAAATAACCTTAAAACGGGTGCAGGCTGGGCGCTTTTCCGTCAACCCATCAGCAACGACCTTGCAGTGTCTTCCGTTTATCTGCAAGGTCTTTAGGCGTTTTTCACAGGCGCTGCGCATTACGCGCGTGTGCGCGCACGCAGGCTGCGTCGAGCCCCTTTTGTTTATATCGACGATGACTGACAGGAATTTGCGATTACTAGACCAACGTGTAGCTTTTACTGTCGATAGAACATCATATTTTCACCTCACTCTAAACATGTAAATCAATTCCGTGCCAGTAACGACAGCCGTGGGTGCTGCGCTGCGCTGCGCTGCGGTCAATAACGAGACAAATGAAATGAACGGCGGATTCCGGCGCCTCGGTCGTTGCGTAAAATGCGCGCTTTAATTCCGTTACGTCACAGCTAATGCGGCTGAAGGGAAAGCTTTGTTCGTGCATTTGCGGGAACCGGATTTGATGTCGACCGCGTCTAACGAAACGCTCCTTGTTCTCCACCAGATTCGAAGCAACCATGCCTTTCGGAAACAGCCATAACAAGTTGAAGATGAACTACACGGCGGAGCAGGAGTACCCTGACCTCAGCCAGCACAATAACCACATGGCCAAGGTGCTCACTTCGGAGATGTACGCAAACCTGCGGGACAAAGAAACCCCCAGCGGCTTCACGCTGGACGACGTAATTCAGACTGGGGTGGACAACCCAGGTAAAAGCTCTCAGTTGGTTGTTAATTCCTGCTGCCCCTGTCTATTGGAGGTCCCTCAGTAAGCCCTCCTTGCACTCTTTGGCTCTAATGATGCCACTTTAAATCAGTTTGTGTGGTCTTTTGTCCATATTCCTCCCACTTGTGTATGCAAACAGGGACACACTCTAGTGTGCACCTTGCCCGCAGTTGGTGCTGTTCACCTGATGACGTGGGTGTTTTTCCACCACCATTCCTATTATCTGTAAACACTTGAGCAGTGAAGCTGAACAGTCAACTTCTGAATCTGTCTACGTGTGCTGTAATGGACCTCCCCTTGGGAATGACCAGTCTGCCCATGGTCCAGACATATGGCAAATGTTTAGTTCAGGCACCTTCTCAGCTAATTGGCCTATCCCACTCCCCCAAAACTGATTACATGTTCGGTCTTCCACTAATTCCCCCTCTTCCCCCTCTTCCCCCAATTCCAGGCCACCCATTCATCATGACTGTGGGCTGTGTTGCGGGAGATGAAGAAACGTATGAGGTGTTCAAAGATCTCTTGGACCCAGTCATTGAGGACCGCCATGGAGGCTACAAGCCCACAGACAAACACAAGACTGATCTGAACCCAGACAACCTTCAGGTACATGCTTGTCAGTTGTCCTGTATTCAGTCTGTTCTGCCAGTTTATTATTGGACTGTGAAGTCATTTAATCAATTTGCCGTAGGGTGGAGATGACCTTGACCCCAACTATGTCCTGAGCTCTAGAGTGCGAACTGGCAGGAGCATCCGTGGCTTCTGCCTGCCCCCCCACTGCAGCCGCGGAGAGAGACGTGCAATTGAAAATCTGTCTGTTGAGGGTAAGCAAAACATGGTTGATGATGACTGCTTTGTATGGTGGGTGGGAAGTGATTTGGGGGGATTCAAATTTGTAATAGATATTAAACAGTAACATTTTAAAAAGCTTGTTACAATTGAAGTGCTATTATGTTAAAGGCATTAGGGCCATAATGCCATAATGCTCTTACTTTACAGCTTTAAGTTCCCTAGAGGGTGAATTTAAAGGAAAGTACTATGCCCTGAAGAGCATGACAGAGGAGGAGCAGCAGCAGCTGATTGATGACCACTTCCTCTTTGACAAGCCTGTGTCCCCACTGCTGTTGGCCTCTGGGATGGCTCGTGATTGGCCTGATGCCAGGGGAATCTGGTGAGTAGGATATGGTGTTACCTTGGCTTTGACTCAAATCATATACAAAGGTCATGGTGCCAGCTGCAAATATGGTCCTTTTTAATATTTGTAGTTATTAAGCAGCTGTTTGACAATCTATGAAGTTAGTCAGTACTTGAGTGGCCTTACTGTACTTGTTTTTGATTTTTGTCCTTTTTAATGCTTTAAGGCACAATGATGACAAGACCTTCCTTGTCTGGGTGAATGAGGAGGATCACCTACGTGTTATCTCCATGCAGAAGGGTGGAAATATGAGGGAAGTCTTCACTCGCTTCTGCACAGGCCTTACAATGGTTGGTCCCACTGCAGTTGTGTAACCTTGGATGAGAATAGAGGAGAAACCTATTAAATGTCAAGGTAACAAATGCCGTTGAATTTCCCTTGCAGATTGAGGGTCTCTTCAAAGAGAAGAGTCATGAGTTCATGTGGAATGAGCACCTGGGCTTCGTCCTCACTTGCCCCTCTAACTTGGGCACAGGATTGCGTGCTGGTGTCCATGTCAAGCTGCCCAACCTCAGCAAAAATGAAAAGTTTGGTGAGATCCTCAAGAAACTGAGGCTTCAGAAGCGTGGAACAGGTACAGTATTTACATATGTATGTAAATACAACAACTTAGTAATTGTGGAAGTGAAAGTTTGGGATAGACTACTCTTATTCTAACCCTGTGGTGTTTTGTGCTCACTGGTAAAAGCCATGTGACTCACCTTTCTCTACATTCTACCTCTGTCTGAAGAGTAAGCTAATAGGACAAGGAAACTAACATCTTTCACAAACTAAGGTTTCCTTCAAAGTTTAATGTAAATGGCAACTGCTGTATTCAAATGATGGTGTAAAATGTAGTTTAGGATGATCATGGTACTGTTGTCTTTTTTATCTCTGAGAACTGTCTTGACCATGTACTTGTAGCAACATTTTCAATTTTGATGTTCCCTTGTCCAGGTGGAGTAGACACCGCTGCAGTGGGTGGCGTCTTTGACATCTCCAACGCGGACCGGCTGGGCTTCTCCGAGGTGGAACTGGTGCAGATGGTGGTGGATGGAGTCAACCTGCTTGTAGAAATGGAGAAACGTCTGGAGGCTGGCCAGTCGATTGACGACCTCATGCCTGAGCAGAAGTGAACACTTTCATAACAATCCCAACTTGACTCCTCCCCATGCCTCCACCAGTTCTCCCAAAACCAATAACCGCATCAAGGAGCACACTCCGCCCAAACGTTAGTGGCACTAAAGTTAGATGAGTCTTCCATCAGTCTGAAGGATTTTGTATCTGCAATGTCTTGAGGATGGCTCTTTAACACCTGAAATAAAGTTTCTTTGGCCCATGGAATTTGTTGTGGTGTCTCACACTTCCTCCTTTGGTCTGTAGTGGCAAAGTCATAAACACCATAAGTGTGTGCGCAGTCTTGTCCAGATGATTCCAGGGAGCCCTACCACCAAGACAAACTTGGTAGTGCCATAGGTGTGAAATGTGAGGAATACGATGCTGTCTGGCAAGCCTTCTGGCACCTGTGGTAACTATTTCGAATGCACTCATTTCTATTTTCCCCACAAATGAGGTTTTTGGATCTCCAGATGGCTATAACCCTGGTAAGCACTGTTGCTCAAGCTATAGTTTAAATCAACTACTGTGGGCTGTAAATGGAGGCTCCCCTTACTTAATAAACTAGGGGGAAAAACAGGCACTATGCTATTGGCCAATATTGTGGCATTTAAATATGCACCCTGGGTAAATGGGAAGAATTTCAGATTGCAAGCTGCTGGCCACAGGTGAGATGATTCAACAGCCACACTAAGCCGGCAGAAATTAGTTATTTTGTGGGGGGGAGCAGACAGCCTTTTGGAAACTGAAGCAGTTTTGACTGGGGGTTGCTGGTTGGTAGGGTTTGGTGCACCAAGACCACTTAACACCCACTGCCCCAGATGGCTTAACTCTGCTTTACTGACCCCAGGGCTGGCTGTTTTTAGCTTGCAAAACGATGGATTTTCATAACTATAAAATGTACTGCTTGCTGAATGGGAACTCTTGCCTGTCATGCTACAGCCACAGGACAAATTCCTTGCCATTCAGACTGATCACCTCAAGTTAATATGCTCTTGGCTACTCTTGCTAATGAAAAGAGGTTGTGTCCACAAAATAAGAGCTGTAGCTTTTCCCCCTAGTAAAGATGAATGGTTCAGCTAGTATTACATTCTTTTCCCCTCTAACAGCAACACGTACTAACAAATTGCTCTAAAATGTCAGCATCATTGAAGCGGAATGGTTGATAATGCGGAGCTCTTCTTTTCAACGGTGCTACTCATTCATCAGTGTTATACTGCTCTCTAATGGTCAACGCGGGAACTGCAGAATCTTCAAAATTGACCCTAAGCTGCATATTGGCCGTTTGAGTTTTCTACTCCTGTTCTCTGACCTTTTTCTTCACGAGGCAATAAGTGATATTAATAAGCAGAGACGTTGCGCTGGGTACTATTTACCAAGTCCGTTATCAGTTTTTATATCAAGGGTGCCCAGACCTGGTCCTGGAGATCTACCACCCTGCAGAGTTTAGCTCCAACACAGGCACCGGATCCAAGTAACAATGACCTTTAGGTCTTCAGTGGTTTTGGTAATGTTTTGCAATTTTGTCAATACTGTGAATTTCAATGAAAATGATTAAAAAAAAAAAACATTAAATATCTTCCTTGAAAGCTGGGATAGTTGGTCACCTGCAAAACCAGCATATGTTGTGTTTTGGAAGCTGGTTTGTTGGTCAGCAGTAAGGGAAGGTATTATGCTGACCACCACCAAAACCAGCATAGATTGTTTTGGATCCTGGTATGCTGGTCATCCAGCATTACCATGCTGGGCGACTAACTAAACCAGCATAGACTATCTTACACCAGCAGGGAATACATGCTTATCTTCCTTTTTCCCTTCAGCCTGGTGCTGCCTGTCACTGAATAGTATAATCAGTGTTTTTTAAATAAGAGAATCTTGGAAGCAACAAATTCATAAACATTATTCTTTTTCCATATACTAAACTCAGGATATGTACCTTTATACCAGAGGTTTGAACATAACTCTTAATTTCATGTTAATGAAACATGATTGAGGCAATATGAAAACATAGCCATTTCCCATGAAAATTTTAATAAGGGAACACAGGACCCTGGGAGTACAGGGCTGTTTCCAAAATTACAAAGGGGGCCTGAGGAACATAGGGCTATTGTCAAGAAATTTGAGAAAACAGAAAGGGCCCTGGGAACACAGGGATGACCCCCTCATCAGTATCTGACCAGAGGATGACCTCCAGCTTTAGGTTTTTTTTACTCCCCTCTCCTAGTCCTGTCCCTGGAGTTTTTCCTTGCTACCATCACCTCCTTGATTATTAAGCATTTCCCAGTCCCGGCCTGTACTTGCCTCGACTGTGAGCTCTAGTGTTTTTCCTGCTTTAACACACATTATAACTCAGCAAGGACTTGCTAGCTCATGAGTGGAGTCAGGAGCGTAGAAAGTTGGGAAAACACAAACATAGGCAGTATAGGAGTACTGCAGGACCAGGACTGGGAAACACTGGCCAAAACCTCTCTTACAGCCATAGTTCAGGGACCAAAAAGAAAAAACCCTCTTATGCCAAATGTAGTTGATCAGCCAAGACATGTTTGGTGTCCAAAGTTTGCTGCTTTGGTTTTACTCTGGAGCAACAAGGCTATAGTGGCTAACAAGTAATGGAGCTTGTAATAGCACCTATTAGCGTCATGAAATGCCCAAATCATCACACACTGGCTACAAAATGGGTCGAGTTGTAATATTAGATACTTGTTTGTGTTTTCTGATATTGACTGACGGTGTTATTAGAGACATGTCACAACATCACTTTTCCCTTTCCAATTTCGATCCTATAAACATTTGTGTTAATTTCCTTTATTTTTGAAGCACTTCTCTTAAGATAAGCATCTAAAAGTAGGCTATTATGGTCAAATTATTTATCTACACAGCACACATCACACCACATAACGTGAACACTCTTTCAAAAGATTAGTAAAGAACCTTTGAAGCACAAAGACAATGATTCTTTTTAGAATCATGAACACCCAAAGAACCCTTTGCATTCTTAAAGGGTTCTTTGCATTGTTAAATGGTTGGTAAAAAGGGTTCTGCTACTGTTATGTCAAAACATACAAAACATTCTCCATCAATCTCAAGAAACTTCTCAATGCAAGAATGCTTTAACCAAGTAAACAATTCTTTGAGTGTTTATAGTTCTATATAAAACCACTGTCTTTACTAAGGAACAATCTTTTTAAAGAGTGAATGTGGTCTGTTTCAGGATAGATTGGCTACAAGATTTAATCAGATTCATTCTGTTTTTCCATCAGATATCAGTTAACTTTCTGCTGATATCAGTCTGATAACTGCTACCCATCGATACAGATGGACTATCTCTAATCTCTGTTATATATAAAAGTTTTGTTGGTTTTGTCAATTTTTAATAATAGTAATACAAACAATATACAGGACATAGTAATACAAAATGAAAATGAAACAACCATGCATGATGTCTTCCCATGACTTGTTTCTCTTTATTTGTGCACATGTAGAGAACAGGAGGTGTGAGTTTTCGTATCTGAACGCCATACAGAGGTCTGCACAGGCCGGCAAGTCTTTCAGCATAGAATCCAACACGTCTCATCCTCTAAGCCTCCTCACAGTATTTACAGGTGAACTCCATGGTAAAGCTCATTACTGCCTTTTAGGCAGGGCACAAAGATCAGCTCACAAGACTTGTAGAGGACTGGGAGGGGGGAATGGACTAAGGAATGTAATGCAATGTTTAAAAAAGTAGTGTAAAATAAACAACGTAAATATGCATTTAAACCATACCTTTTGTTCCGCTTGTGTTTAGAAAAGCTTATAGCCAGCAAGGCTTCAAACCAATGCAGTGTATTTGGCAAGGCCTTAGGCTATCATCACAGCATGGATTGTCCACTTTGACTTCACACTGCCAGTTTTATTACTATTAAATGTTACTGGTAACACCAGTTTGTACATCTTCTACTCTTAACTCATACACTGCCATTCTCTCCTCATGCACTCAGCCTTTAAAATTATTCTCATATACTGTATGTTGTAAAAATCTCTCATCCATGCGCACGTTTCACACTCCACTCACTGTACAGAGTACAGATCACTCATACTGGTAACACTGTGCATTTTAATCTCCAGGCTTGAAGTGGAATCCCACAAATCTGCATACTTAAAATGTCAAGGTGTAAATAAAGTCATTCAGAGTGGTTTGATGTGAAATGCACCACTGTAGAAAAACTTACCAAGTCAGAATTATTCAGTGCTAGCTGCAGGAAACAGACATCCAAAGTCTTTAATGCTTCTGAAAGTTACCTCACCGAAAGCTAATGCACAAAATAATGACGAATATGCTGTCTGATGCCTTAACGGTAGTTCTGAGATAAGGTTTAGCCTAAAATGTATTCATGGTGGAGATGTATATGCAGGGTGTTCTAAGGCAAAAGATCAGATTTACCATTATAAATGGACATTTTATGGACTAGTGGAGGTTAACTGGTCATTGTGGATGGCAAACAAAATGGATGCTTTTGTGTTATAGACATCACAACTCCTGATTCCTATCACCACCACTGTGAAGAAATCAGAGCTGGCAAGCATCTCTACACTGAACCATATTGGATCAAACCACTCAGAATGGCTTTGTTTAAAACATGATTGAATTATGTGGGAATTCCCCTTAGAATGCACATTAAATGAACCACAACTTCTCTGTAATAAACTTGTTCCAGTTGCTATATATTTATATACTTATATATCTGTTCTCATCTCATATAACCTTCTTTGTTCTTGTACACATTAGCTCACCTCATTTCATTCATACATTCATTCCTCATCTAACACACCATCAAAATGCCTTCAGAAAGCATATCCAGTTTTTTCCCTCTCAGCTCATAGGCATAATACACAGGACGTTTAATACAAATGCTTTCTATCCATAGCATAAAGATTCCCTCTTTAAACTGAGGCTTGCAAAAAGGAAGCAAAAGCAGCTGTGCTCTGGGTGATCCAGCCTGCACGGTGCCAGCATCACCTCAACAAACTATAAAGAGCTAAAAATCTCCAGATAAAAACGCAAGCAGAAATGATAAAAAACAAAAGCTATAAAACCAAACAGGTAGTGCTTTGATCTCCATGGAGAAATGTGCAGCGGCTATGATACATGTTACATGATGCTCGGTCAAAACCAAGTCTTCAGGAGTGGAGGGAGGGGGATGAGGGTGAGATAGAAGCCAGGTAATGAGGGCAATGGGGCAGATTTTAGGACCTGAGGCTTTTTGTTTGGCCTTTATTATTGTGTATGTATGTGTGTGTGTGTATCTGTGTGTAGTGTTGTTGGTTGTGCCCCCAGTCTGGGAACATGGTTTAGCAGCTTCACCCCAGCAGCAGGAGCGGAATAAGAGGGGTGAATGGTGGAGGTTCTGCACCCCTAGACATCAGTCCAGTCAGTCACACAGGGGAGATGCAGTCAGCTATGCCAGGGACCTCTGACGAGGCTTTATTCTAGGGTACAGCTGCAGATACATAGAAAAAGAAAAGCTTTTAAAAAAATAAAAATCCAACGTGCACAAATGTCCCATGTCACGTAAAGCCCAATTGTCCATACTTTTCTAAAATAAGAGTTGGATGAAGTATGCAAACATACCACTCACTTCCTAGTCCATACTCTCTATACATAGAAATTATACTACGAAAACAGCTTGTTTTGAATTCAGTGTTTCTGTGATGTCATACAGACCAACATATTTACATATATCCACCTATTCAGCTTACAGCAGTTCAGCCACCCTCATTTATGTTGAAGTTTGGAGTGTTTCAGCTTGGACTGCTTTTTTAATGAGTCTTATGTTTTTTAATCTGTCAAATGCATAACAAAAAAGTCTGTGTAATTATAAAGTATAACAAGAGGTTGGAAAATTAATGTAAAGATGAATTATGACTGTTGTTGGTACATAAACCCACACATGTAAGGTAATAAAAAGAAAAGTGTAGGTTATGGGCCCTTTAAAGCAATGGTTCAACAACATATCTGCAAATATTTCCTGTACCCCAAACGCTGGCAAGGTATGTTTTGTGTCCAAAGGATGCTTCTTAAAATTTGTTCTGGAGATATGAGGCTAACATAGCTAAAAAGTAATAGGGACATATACTCTCCAATTAGCCTTGTGGAATAAATGTAGATATATGGTAGGTCTACCTCATAAGGTGCTCAGTAAGTGTACAAATTAGGTTTAATGATCATAAAAAATCCTGAACTGTAAATACTTACCCCAAGTAAGTTGCGAGGCACATAGCCCTCCTTGTCATTAAGTCTGGCCCACCACCACTCTGTCTCAGTGTCATCTTTTCTGCGCAGGATGGTGATGGCATCTCCCTCCAAGAAAGACAGCTCATCTGCACTCTGAGCCTCATACTCCCACAGAGCGTACACAACTCCCTTATTCATCACTCCCAGCTTCTCTTGCACGCCTGCAAAAACACACACACACGAAATCAGTCCAGCCTGTACTAAAATTGTCTACAGCAAAAACATGAGTTTATGCATGTGTTCCAACTGAAGGTGAAACCACTTACATAATATAAACCCAGTTCCACAAAAAGAACTTTTTCCGAACATGAGCCACTTTCCCACCAAGGAGATCCGTTCTGGGATCTTCCCATAGTTCTTACCCCTTTTTAATTTCTACTCTTAGGACTTTTGAAAGCCCATGAATGGCTGCAGTGAAATTTGCAATACTGCATTGCTGACTGGTCAAACTCAAAGAGAGCAAATCATATGAACAGCCATTTTTTCCCAGTACTTCAATGTCAAGCTGAAATCAAAATGAACCGTTGTCCTTGTTAGTTCATGTGTTTAAGCTCAATTTATGTAACACCTTTCTCAAACCCAAGGTCGATTTACAGAGGCATGGGAAAAAAAAGCTGAGCTTTAATGGAAGAAATTGAGGGAGAGTCACTGAGAGGACTGTGGTAGGGGGTTCCAAGGTGTAATTTGGGGGCCATGATGCTGAATCTGAGTTTTTGTTCTGAAATGTAACTTAACGAATTTCTTCATCCAAAGTGCAAAACCATTTAAGTGTACCTTGGTTACAGCTGCCACTCATCCACTGAAAGGCGTTAACGTTATGTGATCTTCCTCACTTAGGGTGCTGGAAATGACTTTTGTGTAACCGTTATTGTAGGTTATCCTATAATTGCTAACTCTTTCAAGGTCAAATGCTAAGAGTATTATCCCATGGACGGATAAATACCTTCCAGGTAGTGATTTTCGGCACCTAGTGTGCTGGAAAAGACTTGAGAAGTATTATATTATCTACTGCAGGGGTGTCCAATCTTACCCACAAAGGGCTGGTGTGGCTGCAGGTTTTCACTCCAAACAAGCTGAAGCGCACCTGATTCTATTTGTTTTATCAGTTGGTCTTAGTCTTCAAACATTTCATCAGGTGACCTCCTGCTTTGCTGGAGTGAAAACCTGCAGCCACACACTAGCAGAAAAATAACATTAACCAACAATATCATGTTTCATCTCCTCTCACCACCCATACCTTTCAAGCAAAAATGCAGTTAGCTCAGACCTTTTCTAACATCATATTTCAGAGTGAAAAATGTCAATATGATAGGTAAGAAAAAAAGTGCTATGATTTCTATTTCATGCTGAGTTAGAATAACAAGCTGTGTAAGCCCTCGTCCTGTTGCTCCTCCAAACTGCTAATTAACAATCATGGTTACTGCAGTTTGGTAGGTTGGAAAGTTAAAAAAAATGTGCATGTGCTCAAGAACTACTTAATTATATATGTGAGTCACTTAAAAATGTAATGTTGAAAAAGGGCCCATATAATTGGTAGTGCAAGAACACAAACAAATGATCAATAATAAGTAGTAGGGTAGAAAGTAGATTGAAGACGAGAAAGGCAGAAACTGTTACCATAGAGGAACTGTGAGCACTGGATGTAGCCTTCTTCCATCTCTTCACACTTGTCTGCTGCTGTCTCCACATCACTGATGGTGGTGGCAAAGATGGCGGCGCCAGACTCAACCAACAGCTTGCAGAGGTGGACGCTGTTGCAGGAGGCAGCGCAGTGCAAGGGTGTCCTGGAAACACAAACGTGCTCACATTACACCTGTCCAACAATAAAACTACCACTCTTTCCAGTAACAGTCAGAGGAAAGTACTCTCTAAGCTAATGCAAAATTTTAGTGTCGTGATACCCTAAAGAGCATTTTAGCTTCTGAAATCCCAACTTTACTCACCAGCCATCACTATCTGCTGCATTGACATTGACGCCAAAGTCAAGCAGGAACTTGACAATGTGGTGGTGTCCAGCACACACTGCATTATGTAAGGGAGTGATGCCCTCATCATTAGGAGTGCTCGGGTTCTCCACCTGTCAACAGTCCATTTATTACAAGATTAACTCTCAAGCCTGAACCTCATTGGAGAGAAGAGAGAAAGAAATGAAACCTATAATTAAAATATGAAGAGTTCTTTGCAAAAATAGTTCTCTACATAAATCATGTTTTTTTATCGGGCAGTCCAGGTAGTATCAAACAAAAAACTGTAGTTTTTTTTTTTTTTATTAAGTAAAGATAACTCAATACAATGCAGGTAACTTACAAAATTAAACTTTATTGATTTTTTTTCGTTTTTTGGTAAAGGCAGATAACTCCAGTGGTCATATCATGTTTCAGAGTTTAAAAAAAAAGCCATGTAATAGATAGAAGTTTCTTTTAAGTGCACTATTTACCTACTTGTTTTATGTTAAAGAATGATAAAGTGTGGAAAATTGCAGAAACAGACCATTAATATTAAAATTAAACATCTAAGATAAAATTTTGGATTTTACACCTAAATTTTGCACTTTATGTCCTGAATGGAATTGTGCACATATAGCTGACTCCAAAGTTGTTCTTTGTTAGGCATACTGTGCAATATATAGATGTAGCAGCCATTACTTTAAGACCTATGCACTTTGTAGGGAGAAGGGAGCCGTTTGAGATTCTGTCTAAAACAATTCACAGCAGCATCGTGCTACCCGACATGAACAATGTATGCTGATTCGCTAAACAGACTTATTGGGTTTTGCATGAGAACAGCACTGGGGTTTGACTGCTTCTGCTGTAAATCGTGAACTTGCAATGCCATGACCATGGACATCAACAGCTTTTGTGACAAAATGTATTTAGGGTTCAAAAATCAGCATGTGTTAAGAATAACTCACGACCATCAGCTCGTTTTTGTTTTATAGGATGCCGTTTACCGTGTTTTGCAAATGAACTCTTCATATGGTTATAATTTGCATGTGCTAAAGACCAGACAAAGAGAGTAAATATCAAATGTAATGTAAACTCAGTTCTAATACTGACTGATTCTAAAAGTAAGACACAGCTGTATGTGTACCTCGTAAATGATCCTCTGCACTAAGTCAAACTCTCCCTCCAGCGAGGCATCCAGAAGCAGAGCCAGAGGGTTAAACTTCACCCTGAAGCCATGGCCTGTCCGCTCAGAGTTAGGCTTCTTCAGGTTAGTGCGCTTCTCCTATAGACAAGAGATGCAACATTATAATCACAGATACATCAGTAACAATACAAATATATACAAAAATATCTGTTGTATGGCACGAGCATGTCCATGTCGAGTCTAATTGAACTCTAAGATGTGACTGATTCATAACATATTCTTTGTGTTTTCTTGTTCAAAAGGTAGTTTGTGACAAACAAAATAAAAACGTACAAATGTAAAAACAAGAGCTTGCCATTTTGTGTGTCTTGATGAAGGCCTGAGTGGGCCGCAAGATTTTAGCACATTAACATTTTTTTAGCTTTGTGGTAACAAATGCTTTTTACATTTGCCCAAAGATGGAGTCCCTGGGATTATTTTTGCTCTGGAAGTTGTTTGCACAGTTGGATGCTGTTCATTCAGGTTATTACTTTTCAAATTGTAGTTCGACCCTTTCTTTGGAAAAACCTACACATTTTAAGCTTATGTACATCATGCTCTTTGCATATCAAATAAATGCAACAACAGCACTGAGAAATAACATTAATAACACAGAAAAACCTTAAAGATTAATTGTTAACAAAGTACTGGCCCTAGCAATATCGTATAGGGGTTTAACCTTGCCAATAATCCACAATATGTTTCACATTTCAAGGCATATCTTCAGTGCAAGAAGTAGCAACAGAATCTTAGTACGGGACTCTCTCTGTATCTGTCAGTACTAGTGTTTAACATACTGGTTCTGCCATGCTTACCAACTTTAACAATAAACAGCCACTGCTTAAGAACAAGTTTGTTAATGTCTTAGCATTGATGACAGCACACAAACTAAAGTAAACGACAAAAAGGAGTGTGTGCACGCATGTTTATGTTTGTAATGCAGAGGCTCACTGCAGGCTGCGAAGACGGTGAAGTTGCTGCCTCTTGTGGTGAGCTGGCCTCAGGCACACAGCTGGGCAAAGTGGCAGAAGGCCCTGCAGCATTGTTGTTGTTGTTGTCGTCATCCTCTGAGGGCTCCAGTGCTGGTGGGGCAAGTGTTTCTGTTGTTGGCTGCAGGGGCTGGTTATCATTCGCATCACCCTGAGGTAGGGCATCTGGGGGTGCACCCTCGGTCCCAGAGAGGGGAGCGGCTGGTGTTTCTGAGGGTGGATTTCCATTGTCTGCGTCAGACAGCACCTCGCCTGCAGCTCCTGTCGGCTGGAAGAACGGAGTCACTCCTCCACTGCCTCCTACTCCTACAACTCCTCCCTCAATCCCACCAGCCAGGGTGTTGAAACGCTGGTAGAGGAGTTTCTGGATGTTGGGCCCACTGGGACCCTCAGGCTCTGTGATAGAGCTGCGCTTCTTGAGCGGCCGTGGAGCGTTAGCCAGCTTCTTGCGTAGCACCTCTAGCTCAGCATCGCTTTGGTAGCGCATGGGAGAGTGGACCATGGGGGTAAGCTTGGTTGGACTGAGCGGCCGAGGGATGTGGTCCACGTTGGGCGGAGGCCCTTCTGAGATACCTACCATCTGAATCTCAGGGTCCAGCTCACTGTCTATCATGTCCCCTGCGGCACCCAGCAGCCCTGGGAAAGGTCCAGAGCCTGTAAAGGGCAGAGGAGATGGGGGAGTGGAGCTGGAGGGCAAGACTGGCTTTCCATACACTGCAGGCCAGAAGAAAAGACAAGTCATGTACACATAGGTCAAAAATTCTACATTCTGGGCAAGATATTCACTGTATGCCAACCTTAGACATTCAAGGTTTTTAATATTTTAGTTTTATCAAGAAGTAGAAATGGCTAAAAGGAAACAAAAACCATTGTAAGTTTTACAATGCTGTAAGACTCACACACATTCAGCGTTTTTTAATATTTAGAGACTGCTATCTCCTATCATTCTGTCACATATGTATAATAAGCTTTTATTTTGTTAATCAGGGAAGGGGGCAGTAAGCTGCCTTTTCCAGGACTCTTCTTACCAGCTTTAACAGCAGGCTTGTTGCTCATTGGGTAGTTCTTGGGCACCCCCTGTAGGTACATGTGATAGATGGAGCTGGAGTTCATGGTGGCTGGGCCTTTTCTGGGTGACTGTGGTCTAGATCCCTTGTCTGGGATAAAGGGGCGCACAGCCACAGCAAGAGGAGGGTCAGGTCTTTCTCCTGGGGGGAAAAGTGGCGAGCTGGGCTGGAAGGTGGGGCTGGGTGGGACTGAGATGCGCTGCTGGATCTGCTGGGATGAGGATCCAGTAGAGGGGCCTACACGAGGCCAGGCTGGTGGGGGTGGCGGATTAGTATTTGGGGGGTTGTTTGCGTGGGCTGGGACAGGGCGCAGCGGGACATCCTTGCGGCGGTCCAAGGAGGTGGTGGAGCCAGAGTTAGTGGAGGAAAGTGGATGGGAACTGGTGTGGGCACCATACGGAGGAGGCTGGGGCTTACAGGGAGGAGGAGCCGAGCCCAGTTTATTTGTGTCTGGAATCTACCACAGAAACAGCAAACATTTCATGTTGAGCAAGACCATTCACAAAGACACAAAAATCTTTTGTAGCAAAAATGGTAAAGACAGACCAAATGACAGGCATAACAGAAGGGTTAAAGTAATAGATTGGCAAAAAAAAATCTTTTTTTTAAATAATAGTTTTAAAATAATTTCAAAAAGGCTTGCTTATGTTTTTTCTGACACTGTATAACAAAGTTAATAGACAAAAAAAATAAACACGTACATATGAAGCAGACTATGAGACAAGAAAGTGTTGTCCAACCTTATCTGCTGGGGTGCCAGCAGGAGAGACTGTTTTGCAGGGGGGGTCTCCTATCGACTCCTTCCAGTCCGGAGGCTTGAGAGATGCATTACCCTTGCTGAGGGTGGGCCACCCTGCATCATTAGCTGCACAGGGAAAGAGAAGTCCTCAGCATAAAGAACATCACATCTCACAAAAACTTCATTAGGGTTGCATATTATTCTATGCAGCTGCTGGTAAATTAGTTGGTAAGTACAGATTCAGGTATTATGCACTTCAGACTATTCCTAAAAACTATTATTGCATTTTGAAGGGGCGTTTCTCATTTGGCTTTTCAGTAGCAGGGTAGTGTACATGGCAGAAGAACATTTTTAAAAGGCAGCGACTGTGTACCTATAACTATAATCCTGGTATTCAGCCTAATAAATGGGGAAAGGACTGTTCTTTTACAGTCGCTTCCATACAGGCTGAAGACTTGACAGGTAGTTCTCTACATCTGGCAAAAAGCAAATAAACTGCGCAAGGATTATCTTGACGAATAAGCAAATTTCTGTAACAACTATTTTGGTACCCGATTACACTCTTCAGTCTAACTGGATTTAGCTTCTCTAAGATAAGAAAAACTGTGTCACTGTTGTTGACAGTGAACCTTATATATGAATGATGTTGAAGTTTAGCATAGGACAAAGCCATCAGCCTGGTGGACCCAGGAGCTACACAGGGCTGATGGAGGGAATGTGAGGCTGATTCTGCCATGTATTGTCTCTGTACATTATTAGGAAGTTGTTAAATTGGCCACTCTATGTTACAAGAAGACGTTATGAAATGGAACCAAAGGTCAAAGTCACAGAGGAAGCACTGCTGAAGTGAGTTGACTGCTTTTTGATCAGGAGGCTGAGAGGACCTTGTGAACCTTATCAGGGTAGAGTTCCACACAGGCAAGGAAGAGCACGCAGATGTGAAACCAGGCGTATCTAGATGATTCTCAATCACATTCAATTAAACGCATCCACACACAAATGTACAAACATACACAGGATCAGCAGTATGCTGCTATGGCAAACCTATCACTGAAATCTGTCTGATTTCAAGGTGTGAAAAGTGAAGCATTTAGCAGAGAAAACGTAATGCATCTTATGTTCCCGCGTTAGTGATAAAAGCTCAGTCTTGCTCCTGGGCATACACTGCGCACAACAGAATGTAACAGCAGTGTCTCTTCACCCCTAATAAATTTCTCAATCTATTGTCAAATGTAAGATGCACTAAATTCAAATCCCAAGATGGATCCAATCATTAATACAGCAGTGCGTCGCAAAGGCAAGCTGTCTTGTGCTGGAGAAGCAGCATCTAGTTCTAGTCATCTCACATTTAATTACATTGTTTTGCACGATCAAATCTTTTGCTGCAAACTGAAATATTAGTTTGGTTGTATCTCTGAATAGGGGCAATAAAGATGTGACACTTAGATGAGGTGTATTATCTATGTGTTTTTTTTTCGACAAAAAAACCAGGAGGCGCTCCTCCTTTTGGATGTTTGCAGACAATTACAGGGGAATTCCATTTTCAAAATTTGATTTAATGGCGAAGACACAAACAAAGTCGTAAAGAATGACTTGATGTCGGATGCTCTGCTCTGGAGATGCTGAATACAAATCATAGCGGTGGTGATAGGAACCATATGTTTGAAGACTTAATGCCTCTAAAAACCACATAACAGAAAGCTATTACATAAAATAGTCAGAAATATGTTGCCTGATACCTGACACATTGTTTTATGATCGTTTTGTAATACGATTTTGGCCTTGAATGTAATTTTTATAATCTATACATGGTGGAGAGGTACATGCATGGCTTTGAAAGGGAAAAAACTGTTCCTGAATAAAACCATTTTTTTTAGATTTATCATTATCATTATCAATATTACATATAAAAGCCCAAAGATGCATTCACTTGTTGTTCTGAATAGTAAACAAAATATTTATAAATAAATGTATAAATATAAATAAAAGTAAATATTTGTGTTGTGATTCCTGGTTCCCATCATCACCACAGTAAGGAAAATCAGCACGTTTCTCTACAATACACCTTTTCACATCAAACCACTCTGATGACTTTGTTTACATCTTATAGATTGAATTATGCAGCAATATTGAAAAAGTTGGTGGAAGTATTTGAAGTATCCAAGTAGCATTTAGTGTTGATTTAAGCATCTATTAACATTATTCTTACACTTTCTTTAGAAATATATGCATATCATTCTTTGGTCCAGTATACACTGTAAAGCATTTAATGGAACATGAATTGTCTAGATATAAATTAACTGACTATAACTCCTAATCAATCAATCACAATTGCACTTGAAAATAAATGTGTAGAGAACGTAGAACTTAATGTACCCACATGCAAAGTATGTTAGCTGTATTTTAAAAATAATTAAAAATAGTTTAAAAATAATGACACTACTCCAAACCAGCACTCGTTTTATGACAGCATGTACACACGAAACACTGGTCTACCGCTCGTCCTGAGAAAATCTTTAGGGGAAACACTGAGTGGTGTAGAAAACCAACTCAAGTCATTGATCCATCTTAAAAAAGATGTCAGCTACAAAAGAAAGCGGCTACTCTATGACTGCTATGATCCTGTCCAATACTCTAGATAAGGTTCAGAGGCCATCACTCCAGCCCTCCATCAGACACCTTCCCACTCACGAGAGGCTCCGTCTGGCCCCGCTGTGGAGGAGGAGGTGGTGGTGGCAGGGGCCCCAGGGCCTGGGCCAGACTCTGGAGGGGACGGCGGGAGCGGATCCACTATGATGTCTAAATCAGAAACCTTCCAGGGTCCGGGGGGCTTTCTCACGCCATCTGATCATCAGCCCCACCCCCACCGCCCACACAGAAAGCACAACAGCACAGTACAGACAGGAACAGCCAAGAGAGGAGAGACACACACACACACACACACAAGTCACACAATAGAGATCACACAAGAGGTTAGAGGAGAAGAGAAAGAAAGAAATAAAAATTATAAACGAACAGTAAACGAAGTATGGAGAGACGTAGAGCAGGGAGGCATGGGACACATGCCAAGGTCTAAAAGACCCAGTTCCATGTTTCTACTGGATAAGATTATTAAAGAAAGTAATAAGGTTTAAGTAACTGACAAAACTGCACATTTGATCAAGGTCTCCCTCTGCTGGACACATAGGTTGTATGCTACTTTAGATGGCTGGTACTTATGAGCCTGCTATGATGGGTGAAGCCTGAATTGAATTACCCTCATATTCCAACCCAACAAAAGGTTTTACGTCACTCTATGACTGAACAGTCATGCAAATGGAGACAGGCCTAGATCAGAGGGAACAATACGAACATCGCGTTAAGACAAAAAGGAAAAGAAGTGTATCACAGTTCAACATGCTGAAGAGAAGTATGTAATGACTGACCTGATTTTGATCGAGCGTGGTTGGCTGGTGTGTTCACACCCAGTGTCTGAGGTTTGAGGGGGTCTGGGGGTACCATGTAGCCACTCTCTGGGCGTGCAGGCACAGGCACCTGGATGTACGGACCCACTGCTGCCACTCGACCAGTACTGCCGGGAGCTGGCTGAGGGGAGGGAGGACCACTTGGTCGGTTAAGCTGTAGAGGAGAAAGACAAAGAAAAGAAAGAAAGGACAAAAAGAACAAAGAAACAACCAAACAAAAAGGAAGGATAAAGAGAAATAAAAGAGTAGGTGAGTGAAAGGGACAGGGCGAGAGAGCAAAAGAAAAGAAAAAAAAGAAAGAGAAAGGAAAGAAAGAAACAAAAAAGGGGGGGAGAAAGACGAGGGTAGAGAGAGGGAGGGGGAGACAGAAAGAGGGAACGGGGAAACAGAGTAGGGAGAAAGAGAGAGAGAAAAAGGGTGGGAGGGTGGAGGAGAAAAAGGGTGGGAAGAGGAGAGAAAAAGGGTGGGAGGAAGAGAGAGGAATAGAGAGAGAAAGAGGGAGGGAGGGAGAAAATGGGAGGGACAAAATGGGAGGGAGGGAGAAAATGGGAGGGAGGGAGGGAGGGAGGGAGAAAATGGGAGGGAGAGAAAAAGGGAGGGAGAGAGAAAAAGGGAGGGAAGGAGAGAGAAAAAGGGAGGGAGGGAGAGAGAAAAGGGAGAGAGAAAAAGGGAGGGAGAGAGAAAAAGGGAGGGAGGGAGGGATGAACAGACAGAAAGAGGGAAAGTGGAAAACAAGAAAAAGAGAAAAAAGAAAGAAAAGCAAGAGAGAAAATGAGAGTGAGAGAGCGAAAGAAAGAAAACGAAAGAAAAAAAACAAAAGAAAGGTGGAGTGAGAGCAACAAAAGAAAATGAAAAATCAGCTCTTCAGCACATTCATAAAACACAATGGCAAAAACACTTTTATGACTGACTGTCGTTTTCATTCAGAATTCCATCTGTGTCCAAACTCTGCACGTCAAAGTGGATTATTTTTAAGCTCACAATCAAAACAGTGTATGTGTGTGTGCTGCATTCCTGGCCTTACAGGCAGGTTCTCTTTTTGACGTGCCTCAGCTTTTTTCTTATAGAGGCGTTCCCGGAGCTCGCTGATGCGTTTGTCCATCAGCGTCACCTCCATGTTGCGCTTGTTCAGCAGCTCCTTCTGCTGCTGTAGCTTACTGTTCTGCTCCTGGTTCAGCTTGTTACGGATCTGACATACACACAAACAACAACAAGAGAAACATCATTATCACCTGCATTAACAACATTATTACTGTAAACACAATAACTCAATAGCTAACAGATATTACATTTGGAATCACAGAGTGAATCTAAAACCCTTTCACACTCAAAGACCTGAAAGATTAGCAGGATACTTTTACCAGTTTTGGGCTTTCTGTCACTCACACAGTATTGTACAGGGATGCACGTTAAAACAAGCCAGTTTTGTACCAGAGTTGCTCGGTGTACATTTTTGCCAGTTCTTTCTAGAATCCTGTATTAAATATACTCCTGTGATGTTTTCACTTGCAAACATAAACTAAAAATTGATCTTTAAATGTCTTCGTACTGCCTGGTATCGTTTTGGCTTCTTTTGCTCTGTCAACTTAATGGGACTTTGACTACAGCTTGCATTCATATTTGACCCCATCTCATTTAATTATTGTTAAAGGTTCAAAGTGTACATGTTTAAGGGGCTTTGAAGCAACATGCATTACAACTATATATCAGCTAAGCTACCGAAGGCTCTGGGCGTCTTGTATTAGAGAAGAACAAATTAAAGAACACACAAATGTTATTGAAGGAGCTATTCACATAGTTTTAAAATATGACAGATAATAACAATACTTTTAATGCCAATAATACCAATAATTTTAAGGTTTGCATTTAAACATAGCCTAAATATTTTATTTTGGACAAAAAAGAGAGCACACTTTTTTGAATATTATAATAATCAATTACACATAACATAAAAATATAACATAAAAAAAAATCAATACTGTAACAAACTTTTAACCTGTGTATTTCACTAAAGTGTAAGTTCAAGGTGTGTGTGTGTCTGCAGACCTGCAGCTCCTGGTAGAGTTTGCGAAGCTCCAAGGCAGCAGTGCCGGTGACATGGCCACCCAAAGTCTGCAGGCCATTCAGCTTGCCTCTCCGCAGGTCCTCCAGCTGCTGGCTGAGCTGGTCCACCCTCAGCATGGCTGCCTGCAGCTCTGCCTGCTTCTCCTGGAACAGCCCACTGATGTGCTCGATCTCTGCAGCTAGTGCAACAGCACACAAAGCCATAAAAATACAGTTACACTAAGAGATTACCTCTGCTCTAAACTCAATCTCAGCAGCTAAGAATTCCATGCAAATACATACAGCTTACATGCCAAGAAAGATGATGTTCTTTTCTGAACTCTAGCTGTTGCTAGGATACAGCATTCAAGGTCCAAAATTATACAGGGAAAACAATAGTAACGTGTTCTTCATAAGAGACCATTTCTGAAAGTCTGCCACATGTGACAATTAACATAGGATTGGCGTGTAATTAAAAGAATGATTCATCAGCCTAGGACAAAACTAAAGAACCAAGTTTCAGATGCATGTTGGCTGACTGACTACGTTTGGGGTAAGGGGGCAATTATGTGGATTTGATTTTTCACCAAACAACTTAACTTAAACAACTTAATTGCACTGCAAATTCAATCATGTCCTTTGCACAACTATCTATCAACTAGCCAAGCAGTACTTAACCAAGGCTGTTAGTGACCCATATTATCATTTAGAGCATTTCTTATGCCCATGTTTCACCACTGTGCTCTGACCTGAGTGCTGAAGATGGTCCCATATGGAGCTGAGCGTGTGGTTGAGATTTCCCATCTGTGACTGTGCGCTGTTTTATTCACTAGACTAATCCTCGGTTTAAGATCATTCAGTATTCTCTTAAAGACTCTGTGTGGAAGTGTGTGTCATGCACATTCTTCCTCATAGCTATGGTTCTTGTGACTTCTTTATTAAATATGAATTAACACTGCTTATCAAGGAATGACAAGGACATACTGTCGTTGATGTGAAGCACCACTCTTACAGAAACATTTTTTTTAAACTTGTCATCTCCAACACATGGTGAAGTATCGCTACTCTCAGTGAATGTTTCTGATATCAGTGTTTATGCAGGATATGGTTTCAGGTCTGTTACTTTACATACATGCAATTTTGACTGCGAACACGCATTTGGTAGACTCTATCCATGAAGATTTCCTCCCTTTCAATGATGCACACAAAAGTAACTTAGGTGCTTATAGCCCCCCTTGTGGACAAGCCTCAGCCTGCTAAATATGTTTGAGTGAGTGAGGAAGCAGGTGTATGAGCGACAAGCGAATTTCATGAGGTGTTTTGCATCTAAAAATGTTTTTGAAAGCTACATACACAGATTGCCGTTGATAACTTTGCTGTAGTCCACTTGGCCCCTCATTGCACGGATCTTTTTGAGTTTGGCTTCCTGGCTCTCCACTCTCTCCTTCAGCCTCTGCAGCTTCTCTGTCTCAGACACTGCCTGCTGTTGCCGCCGCTCCTGCTGCTTCAGATACCGCAAGCGCTGCTCCTACACATGCACACACAGGAGAGAGAAAAAACAAACACCTATAAGCCTAGGTCCAATAAACATTAAAGACACATTTTTCTTGCATTTTGTTCTTTTCCACACAGCCCAGTCAATTCATTTTTACATAACTATTTTCCAACTTCTCTTTATGCCTTAGAACTAAACAGACAGGGTTACAAAAAGCAAATATTTTGATATTTTATTATTAATCTGAATTAAGCAGTTAGTAATCAGTTAATCCACTTAAATGTGGCCTGTAAATATAAATAACTGTACAACAACTGTTTGACAGTTTGGGACGGGGGGGATTAGGGGGGCCGCACGTGGCGCTTTGTTTAAGCCTGCCTATAATTTGGAGCTAGAGTAAGTAATAAGCAGTAGCTGAGTGATACAATAATAAAGGTGCAGACTGATGTTATAGTAGCTCTTCAGGTTACAGCATCATTTAACCAGTTTCACATGCTAGTTCACTAGGCAAACTTTGTGTGAATACATCTTGTGAAAAATGTTCACAAAATGAGTTGCGTTTTAAGCTAATGAACCAGTTGTAGGTAGCTATCTAATGTACGTTTTTCTGTGACAAGACGGGCTGCCCCTGATTGGATATACTACTATACTTCTAATTAACTGAACTGTGTGTTCAGGAAGTAGTTTGGTTTTTCAGAACCCCAGCATGGAGGTTAGGCTTCTTATTGCTTCCAGCTTCTTATTTGAATTTTGCGTTCCACCTTAAACGGTGTAAAAGTTACATTTTGATGCCTTCAGCTTTACCCACTTACTTACCGTTCTGCCTCGCAAACACCAGTATATTTTCTTTTCCAGGGTGGAAGGTAACTTTTTACTTCTGTGGAAAGCTCAAGTCAGACAGCATATGTTGTATGTGATGACCTTAACCAATACTTTAAGGAAATGCTCCCAGACTTTGTTGTTTTCTTTCGATATCTGTTCACATAGGTACACTCTAGGTTGGACGTCACTTTGTAAATGCAACGAAAAAAAATCGACAATGGAAATACCTGTCCACCATTTTTTAAAATTATTATACTGACATTGTTGAATCATTAAAAAAAGTTCTCTCCGTGTGTGTATATATATATATATATATATATATATATATATATATATATATATATATATATATATATATATATACACACACACACACACACACACACACACACACATATATTATATTAAATACACACACACAAAGATCACATCACAGCATCCTCACAATCCCATCGCCCCCCTCCCAGTCCACCTACCCACAATGAATTCCATCTCTCATCTAGGGTCATGTAAAGAGAGTGTAAAGCTCTCACAGAGCTTTTAGTGCATGATAAGCAAGTGGAGCACAGGCTCTCTAAGCCTGAGGCAGCTGTAGCGCTGTCACAGAACAGGGTGCGCTTAGGACACCGCGTCATCATCTCACACTGCATATCAGTGCAGTTACTATGAGAAGCAGCTTAATGACTTCCCCTGTGGCGTATGGGTAAATGTAAGCTTTTCTACTGAGATACACATAAATAGCGATGGAAAATGTAAGGCTGGAAGGGATGTCACAGACACATGCAAAGAGGAAAGGAATTAAAGTGTGCTTGAAGTAAGTGCGAGTGGAGGAACTAAATATAGCTCAATGGTAGTGGCCTCTTAGTGACTGGAAGCTCAGTGCCACCATAGCCCCTTCTAACCACTGATTATGTTCACAGCTCTCTATTATCCCTTTCTGGAAAACAGCCACTCCATCTGCAGCTGCTCCAACAACAGATCGGAAATCAGAAATCATTTTCCTTTTCCAAGAGCTACAGCGAGGACTGAACTGATCCTAGAACAGAATCTGTGAGCAATCAACGTGCATTGAGTAGTGCCGGATTCCGCTCTGAATGAAAAATGAAGTGGAGATATTTGGCTTGAGCCAGTGAGAAATGCCTGTTGAGGCATACTGGACATACTGACGGTGCTTGCTACATTACTGGCATTGTGTGGTCTCTGGCTTGGTCCACTGCAGTTCTCACCAGTAATATTACCACAGCAGTAAACAGATGAGCTCATCACCTCAGCACACACCACTGTAAACACCCACTCAGGAACACTAATGAAAGCCCACGGCTGACCTCACATATTTAAAATATAAGCCTTTGTTGTGTTTTTAAAGCTCTGCAGACATCTGTAATGTTTTTGTACATACTATACAAGACGCATGCTTGATAACATACAAATTACAGTGAGTAAACAAGAAAATCCTACAATGCTCCACTGTATACTGAAGACACCATCATGCACCACTGGGTGCTGACACATTTCTGTTAAATAGAAAACAGACAGAGCCTACTCAAACTGGTCTAATGTGTCTAGACAGACACATTAGAACACAATCTTTAATCACATTTGATTACTGTTCTTTAATCTTCTACTAAAATCTTATTATTCAGTCATGAAAACAAAATAATTTAGTTGACATTCAGGACTACTCACAGAACAAAAACATTTCACAAACAACATTTTAACAGAACTGAATTTGTGGCTCTTCTTTCAACAAATACAGCGTGTCCACCAGTGCCACATTTGTGCCTGGTCTTCACAGCGACTGCCCAATACAAAAAGACACTGCAGGACCACCCACAGCACACACACACACACACACACACACACACACACACACACACATCTGAGAGGGTTACCTTAGCGACGAGCATCTGTTGCTGGGCCTCGATCTGCTGCTGTTGTCGCGTGGCCATCTCCTGCAACTCTGAGAGAGTAAGCTCCACACGAGTGTTCCCCACCTGCAAAGAGGGCGGGAGAAGGGGTAGAGTGGGAGGAACAGGCAAGTAGGGGACAGAAAAACAAATAAAAAAAAAACAAAAAAAGAGGTTGGGGAAAGAGGGAGAAACAAGAGAGAGTTAATTTTAGAAACCAAAACAAAAACACTCCATTAAGACGACAAGTACTATGTTGTATTCACAGAAGTCCAGACAGCTCCACGTCCAGACCAACAGCAATAACAGCACCTGCTCTGACTGGAAACGCCTTGCTTTGACATATCAGACAGAGTATAAGAGAAAGAGAGAGTGGAAGGAGAAAGAAAAAGAGAGAGTGAAAGAAAGAAAGCAAAAAGAAGAACAAAAGAAAAACAAAGAAAGGAACGGAGAGGAAGAAAGAGGAAGAAAAAGTGAGGGAGGAAAAAAAGGTGACTGCAAGAGTGGGAGGAGAGAAATGGGGGAGAGGGGGAGAGAGAGAGAGAGAGAGAGAAATTGAGAGAAGGAGAGATACAGAGAGAGAGAGAGAGAGAGAGAGAGAGAGAGAGAAAGTGAGAGAAGGAGAGAGAGAGAGAAAGTGAGAGAAGGAGAGAGACAGAGAGTGAGAGAGAGAGAGAGAGAAAGAGACAGAGCGAGAGAGAAAGAGAGACAGAGGGGCATGGAGGGCACAGGAAGACACAGAGAAAGAAAAAACGGAGGAAAAATGTAAGAAAGAAAGACAAAGAAAGAAACGAAAGGAGAAAGATAAGAGAGTGAAAGAAAAAGAAAGAAAGAAAGAAATGGAAGGAGAAAGAAAGTGAAAAAAGATAAAGAATAAAAATGAAAGGAAGGCAAAAGAGAGGAAGAAAGAGGGAGAAAAATTGAGGGAGGAAAAAAGGTAACTGCAAGAGTGGGGGGAGATAAAGAGGGGGAGAGCGAGAGAGAGCAAGAGAAGGGTAGAGAGAGCGAGAGAAGGAGAGAGAGCGAGAGTGAGAGAAGGAGAGAGCGTGAGAGAGTGAGAGAGGTTAGACAGAAAATGAAAAAGAAAAGGGAAGGACAGAGAAAGAGAGAGAGCCAGAGAGATAGAGAGAACAAACAAGAGAGGGAGCAGTAAAAAGACAGTGGTAGTGTGGGAGAAAGAGAAAAAGAGACAGAGAAAAAGGGAGGAAAATAAAGAAAAAAGAAAGACAGAAAAAGAAAGTGAGGCTAAAGAGAGGGAGAAAGAGGGAGGAGGGGGAGAAAGTGCTCTGATGTCTGCTCTGCAGTGCTCAGTGTAGTGAGAACAGGGTGCGAAATGACCTGTGGCTGCGTAAACACTCACGGCTTAATTATAGTCAGAGTGCTAATGCTAGCGTAGGCCTGCTCTGCTCTGTGCTGAGCTCATCAGGGAGAGGAATGGCTCTGTTTTTCAGCTGAGAGTGGGTAAACAGGTCCGCGCGAGAGACAGAAAGCAGGCCCACACACTCTGTCACTCTGCATTCTGGCCGATTAGAGCGAGCTGTCAGTCACCGTGCCTATCACTGCGCTGTCGTCATGGTAGCAGAGCAGAACTGCCATGCAATGAAGATTTAGTAAAAAAAAATAAAAAATAAATCAACACTAACAAGCTAATTCAGAGAACATACAATTGCTTGGATGAAGTGCAATATAGACTGAAGTAGCTGAAGCAGCAGTTCAGACTCAAGAGTCTTAAAGTCAGGGATACCAGCAATGCTAAAACATACAGGGCTATCAAAGTATCAAAAAATGAAGCAGAGCTTCCTTGGACATTGGCCATGTCTCTCCAGCAGCTTGAGAGTCTTTGGCACCGAAAGTTATTGATGAGTGAGAAGGTTCTGGAGGCTGACTAGTTGAAGTTATGAGTTGGCCGAGCTGATAGGTGATCAATTCTTTCCCCACTGTGTGCTGCAAAGTCAGGGTGAAGGTATGAGCGAAATGAAGAAAGACAACAGTAGCAGCCTCAACGACACGGCAAGCCAAAAAATTAGTCCGGATAACACCTAAAATGCCTGCTGTATCAACATCCCATTACTGTAATACCCTGAAAGCCATCCACATTCCTTTTCCTGGTAGTCACCATGAAGCCACTAGGGCTATGTTCAGGCAGCAGATAAATCAGATTTGTTTCTCAAATCAGATCTTTTGAGATGACTGTCCGCACTGTTACTCGCAGGTGATCAGATCTGATTTGTGTGTCAGACATCACCAACCTATCTGCATGGGTTGCTGTGGTAATGACGTAGGTGTCAGTATCAGATTAGCAAGAATCTGATTGTGTGTTTTTTGCTGTCCAGACAATCAAAAATCTGCCTGGGTATGCTAAAAGGCGGATATGGGCTGGCTGTTTGAACAAGAGATTCTTATCTCACAGTTAGTTCTTCACATCAAAATGTAAGAACAAGAATCATGGAGGAAAAGGTTTCCCTTACCCCTGGTGTTCCATCCTTTGGTTGGCCATTCAATAAGCTCATCTCAAGTTTGCCTTGACCAAACTGACTGCTATGCTCACACTTTAATTACCTTAATGTTACCAGGTCTGAGTTTTGCAGCAGTTCTTCTCACAGCTGCTCTGTAATTGGATATGCTAACAGATCCAACATTCTACTTCCTAAAATGCCACCAACCAACTGCTCAGCTGGGCTGACCTAACTAGAACCCATAAGTGCATTCAGATAGCGTGAAAGAGGAAGTTGGGCAGAGTGGAAAGTTTGCAGAAGTTATGTAAGTGTGAAAACCAGGGTCAAGCCAGTTTAGCCATGGTGCCAAAATCTGAACTATGCTAAACTTTGGATTGAACACCATAGGTCAGTCAGTGTTAAATGACATCCAGCATTAGCTGTCTTTGACTGACTACTAGGGACATTTAGATCTGACCGATATTTAGCGACTGTGCTAAAATGTGACATTTAAAACTATACACATATATGTTATGAATCTCTAATGCTAAAGTGTATGGATTGAGTCCCATTTATATTTTATAAAATGTATATGTAGCTGTTTTGGTAGATATGTACAAGAAAAATCCCGGGTATCAGCATAATCCCACAATTCCTATACCGGTGCATTCCTATTAACTACTATATCTGTTACATGGTGTGAGACAGAATGTGTATGTTTGTGTAGGTTCCATTCAAAACATTACAGGAAAAGCTCAGAAAGGAAATACATACACAGAAAAACAGAAGCAGATTTTTCTCTTTTGAAGTTCCCTGACACTTTAGCTCTCATGCTGTAGTAATTACTGATCCAGTCAATGGCACCGAGTTATGTAAACTCAAAAGATCTGCTCATAAAATCATACAATTCTGGTGTTTGCTGAAGTGCAATGACTCACTGTTTTAGTGCAGTAATTTATCAACATACAACTCTCACACAAATGTTGGCACAGTAGCATTGCTGGGTCACCTACAGCCAGTGGCTAAATCTATCTTTGGCCAAACTAATAACCTGATCATTTATGCATATAATTCATTGGTGGTACTGTGTTGTCATTTGTCATAATAAGAAATGTCAGAATGCCACTGGCCAATAATGGCCAAGTGTGCAGCGTATAAATATCCTACATTCTCTGTCCTGTAACTTCTCCATCTTTCCCCTCCCAATTATGTGCTTGTCATGATAAAAAAGCCTGCATGGCAACAACTATGAAATACAACCTAGACAGGCTTTAAAGCCTAGTTACGGGAGCTCAAGTGCTGAGCAGTAGGTGAGCATATTCACTCAATCACTGTTTCAGTACAACTGCTTGTTTGTGAGTATTATTTAACAAATATGACATAACTTGAAAAGATATCTTACAGCAACTGCATATGTACAGTATCAAAGATGACAACGTAGATTAAACACCTTGGAAAATATAAGGGTTATCAAACTTGTGGGTATTTTGAGAATTTTCACCACTAAAAGAGTCTCCAATATAGTTGTACATCTGCAAAGCATATGCACGGTGCAACAAAAGACTGTACCTGCTGAGAATTTCCCCACGTTATTCTGCAAGAGCGCACTTTTATTTTGCTGCATTGTCCCGCAGTTGTTAATTCCTGCACTGCCTCCACGTGTTTCAATTCCATCTCGCAGCCGTATATCCTCCAATGTAAAGTCTCCCAAATGCGTTTTCAAACACACCATAAATTAAGGCAGTAAAGCATGAGCTCGTCTCTGTGCGGTAAAGCAGCGCCTCTCTCCCACCGACTAGTATGGAGTCTGTGACTCCCCCCTCCCCTCACTCCTCTTCTCTACTCTCACCAGCACTAAACAGCACTCACTAACGATTAGCAATCAGTGAAAAAATAGCCAGCGGATTTATCCGGGGGGGCAAGAGCGACTCGGGTCCTGTGTCATTTTACATCAGCGTGACAAATTGAACTCTTCATTTTCAGTGCAACATTACTAGCAGCCAGTGTTATTACGTCTGATTTTTGCTTTCTTGCTGAAAGACTCAAAGGATTCAAGTACATCTACTCCTGACTCTTTGCTAGCTTGCAGTTTGAATGCAGCTCTAATCTTTCCCTCTTGCACTTGTCATTCATTATTCGCCCTCTCAAATTGGCTAGGAACACTGTGTACGCTCCAAGCACAGTTTATTTTATCAAAAGGCAAAGGTTCAATTTAATCATAGTTTATAAAAAGGGGGACTGAAATAGCCCTTGAACTCAAGCACATATTACATGAATGTAGATAGAAGATGAGAGAGTTTTAAACATATACTTTTCACTTTTGATATTCAGAATCGCTACGATTACCAGAAGCATTTCCATATTTGCATAAATCTGAATAGTCTTTCTTTCCCAAGCCAGCATTTCCCCAGCTCCAGTTTTGTATTCCAACATTTTATGTTTTCCGTCCACCTGAGTCACATCATGGCTAATTAACAAGCCTGGCTTGAGCTGAATAACAAAACAGCACAGTGTGGCCCTCAAAGACTGAAAGGGGCATAGCTTTTAGAACGAGATGGCCATGTAAGACCAAAAGATTTTTTGGGGGTGATAGACGGCCAGAAAAAAAATAATAAAAAATAAAAACATTGTGTTAACGTATTAAAATAACAA